ATTATCTACTTTACTATGCAAATAAACACTTGAAAAAGATAAAGTTTTCCATGCCTATTATATGTTTACCTCTATTTTATATACACACAAATACTAGAAAATATTCAAAAATATAGATTTCTCAAGAAAAAACATTTCCCACTAATAATTAGAAGCATTTCTCTCCATTGTCAACGTTCAATAAAGCTTGGAAAGTCAAATATGCTTGCATTCTTTTGGAACTTTTGAGGTTTATGGGCCCATTTGATGTCAAAGACAAAATGGATATGGGCACTTTGTTTTTGTTTTTTAGCTAATTACAAATTCATCAAACTTTGGGGAGATTTATATATTTTTGTTTTTGTTCTTGTGTGTTTATTTTGCAAGAGTTATGGCCTATTGGGGAATGAGGCTTCAAATGGTTAGATAGTCAAAACATGTAACAAAAAGCCTATTCAAAACCTACAAATATCAGGCTTATATTGTGTCCAATAGTAACATCAGTTCTAGTAATAAGACAGACTAATCACTTTTCAACTTTATAATTGAAAAATAGTCATTGTTTTGATATTTACCTGTAAAATTTAAAAGTTCATAATAGTGGCCATTTTTCAATTACAGGTGTTGAGAAGACGTATTTATCTGGTCACAAGGTTAGCTTTTACAAGGGTTGAGAAGTGTTTGTGGCTTGAATTATTCTTATCTTAATTGAATTTTTCAAATGCCTATTTCATCCTCTAATAATCAACCTTTTTAAAACTTTCTTTAATAATTTTTGTAGCCAAATTTTATTTAATAAATTTCAATTGAAACAAGAATAGTTCAAGCCACATACAACAAGATGCCACTATCATGTTACAAGGTTAGTTAAAATGCATATTTGATCATTGACATAAAAAAAAAGTTAATATCCCAAAAAACTCGAAGCGACAGCAAATTCAAATTCGCTATAGCTTGAATTATAAGTTATAATCTCAATATTTATACTCATAAATTAACCAATTAGCACGGGGTAGGTTACAGTAGTAGCCGCCATATTGAACTTTATAATCGACACTCAAACATAGCAATTATCGAATTAAGATTGCAAGATGCGGGTTACCATGCTAAAATGGAATATAAAAATGAGATATAGAGGCAAAAGAACAAAGTCGAAATTAGAAAAGAAAAAAAAAAGTCGAAATTAGAACATAGTACATTCTTCAGTTTCTTTGTCTTTTAAAATTGTTCTATTTTTTTTCGAACGTACAATCGTAATTACAAAAAATAAAAACTTAACTTCCCTGAACCTCCAGCTAAGACTAATTTTCAGCTTCTCAATTGCAGGAATTAATAAATTAAGGAATTAATAATCGTTGATCAATTCCTTTTTGCAATCATAAGATAATAATCATCTTCTTTTTTTGTGGTAAAAGATACTAAAGCAATAAATATTTTTTAGTTTAACAAAATTTAAATAAAATAATTTTTTTATTCTTTTAGAGATTTGGGAATGAAGTGGTTGGTCATATAGTTTATAAAAAATAAGGTTAGGCAACAATCTAAAGTCTAAAAATGACTAATCATCACATCCACTATATTATAGTGAAGGCCTAGAGTGAAAGTTAAAAGACCTAAATGACCCTATAAAACTAAGAGACTATAATACCCTTAAGAAAATTAATAAATTTCTTAAATCAATACAAGAACCTAGCTTACATTAGACAGCTTCCTCGTTGCTATTAGTTATCGTAAAATTATGAAGAGTTACATTAGATAATAAATGTAGACTAATTCAATTAATAAACGTGTGAAAGGAAAGCTCAAGGAACGTCAACTAGGAATAACTAAATATGCCTTCAACCTCAAGGAAGAAAAACGTAAAAGCATTTCATAATAAATAATAAGTAATACTCCACAGTAACCATTATAATAGTATTGTAAATAATGTGAGTTTAGAATAAATAAATAGCATGTCGTCACAATTTTATCATTTGTGTTGGTTAAAAATATATGTTAATTTAATGTTATCGAGCTACAAACATCAATAATTTTAACTCTATGTCCTCGTCATGACAGAGCAACCTTAATGAATAAAAGGAACATACGCCAGAAATATCGGCTATAAGGAGCTATTAGGTGAAACACACTTTATTATATTTTGTACCTCGTAAAATTAAAAAATAAGTAATTTTTTTAATTTAATTATATTTTTCTTGTCCATTTTTGTAGATTCAAACGATATCCATTTACTTTGACCCTCAACAGACAAGTCACAATCCGAGAGTTCATATTAATCTTCACATGTACTTTATTTTTCAAGTATAATTATTTAGTCAATACAAAATTGTTGACTTCATGATTCGGCATACACGTGCAAGGAGAAACTAGTATTAATTATAAATGACTATAGAGGACCATTTATTGTAATTGATGAAAACTAAAGAAAAATAATTAATGATAACTCGGTTAGAATGTATTTTGTCTTTTGTCATTTCTTCAAGTTTGCATTTTAACCAAATTAACTCTTAATACTATAACAATTTTGTTCTATTTTCTTATTTCTTTTATCGCCAGTAGTCTAACAAAGTTATGTACTTTAAGATTTATATCAACTTCAAAATAACTTTACGTATATGATAAATTTGAAAAATAATGAAATTGTATTATCTTGCTTATTAGTTAATTTAAATACTTAATTATTTATTCTCAATATTAAAGAAAATAATTTATTTGTTGATTCAAATTCTTAATACTAGTTTATATTAAATTTTAAATATGTTTTTATAATTTACTTTTATTCAATAAAAATGGGTGAAAATGATTTTAGTCCTCCAACTATTTCTTAAAAATCAAATACATCCTCCAGTATTGAACAATTATCGTTTTCATCCTCCTACCTCAACCTCCGGTGATTGACCGACAACTTTGGAATAGTTGACCGATCATTAAAAGTGATAAGATATAATTTCAGTTATATTCTCAATTAATACATACCCTAATTAATCTTATACATCAATTTACCCCATACGTCTTCTCCGTTAAGTAACTCAAACGCCCAAATAATTGTCCTCCTTAATTCATCTTTTCAGAGAACAAACCTTTAACCCTTAGCTTTAATTTTTCTTTTCAGCGTTCTAAATTACAGTAAGAGAACTCATCGTTTTTACTTTTACTAGCACTATGATTTACTTTCTTTCACTTTGAAAGTTAGAGATAACAATTTTATTTTTTGATTCTGTTACATAGACATCTTGCTTGTCTAGATTGTTATAACTTTATTTTAAATTAAAAATATTTTTTACTTGATTTTATGTTAATGTGATTGGTTTATAATATTAGGGGATTGTTAGAGTCTTTGTGCAACTGATATATGTGTGCGAAGCTTTTCTTAGTCTGAGATTTTTTTTTCTATTTTGAAAAGATCAAATATATTTAACCTATTGACTATTTTATCATTCCCAGAGATGTTATTCAACTTATTGGTGCATTGTCTTGGAGTGTGCTATCATGTCTTCAATGTCGGTGATAATCATTATGGAATATTAGATCTGTTGGAAGATGCTCATAATGCTGTAGCATGATATCACAATGAAATTGACTGATGATATGAATTTAAAGATGTTATTTAATATGTATAGGGCTTTGGAAAATAAAGAGATCCATATGAATTTAATCATAATGGATGAAAAAGTCAATGGAATTGAAGGTGAAAATTTCCAATGGACGGATGATGAGGACGAACGGAGGAGACGTGTGGGGTAAATTGATGTATAAGATTAATTAAGGTATTTATTAATTGAGAATATAACTGAAATTACATCTTAACCCTTTTAATGATCAGTCAACTATTCCAAAGTTGCTGGTCAATCGCCGGAGGTTGAGGTAGGAGGATGAAAACGATAATTGTTCAATACTGGAGGATGTGTTTGATTTTTAAGGCATAGTTGGATGATTTTCACCCAATAAAAATTCTATTTTCAAATGATTAAAAAAAATAAATTTTGTACTCCCTGTGTTCACTTTTACTTTTAGGTTGCTGAAAAAAAAGAATTTAAGTTTTATCCATGGAAATATTAAAAATATTATTGCACGATCACGTAATTTGATCAATCAATTCCAACAAGCTATTTAGCATCCCAAAAAATAAGGTAAGAAAAGTGAGGAACATCGGCCTCACACAAAAAATATTGTCTTCCTTTTCTAGTTATCAACTCGTACTTAGTTTAAATATATAGATAGTTTGCTTACCTAATTATGTATGTATTTCTTTACACCGTCCAAATGGATAAGATTTAAAATAAATCACTCTAGCTATCCTTAGGAAGTAGTTCTCACACTACAACAAATTCGATTATCAATGACAAATTATTTTGTCACCTAAAATTCATATTTCGTCACAAAAAACTTTTTTTGACGAAAATGTTTTTGTTAATCATTCGTCCTTAAATGCACGTCACTAAAGGTATACAAAGACAACTTAGTGATTCGTCACTAAATAAAGTTATATTAACTACGAAATTGATTTTTGTCCCCAAATGTATAGTATTTGTGACAAACTTATTTGTCAAAAAAAGTATTAAAAAATTGTAGTTGATAGTATGTTTTCGTCACTAAAGAAGTCATCAATACCGACGAAACTACCTTGTCACTAACTATTTAGTTTAATTAGTGACAACATTAATTGTCTCTAAAGTTATATGTATTTCGTAGTAGAACAAATTTAACTCCGTCACTAAAAACTACCTATTATATACAAAAAGATATTTCGACCCTAAATATAAAAATTAGTGACAAATTTGCTTTAATAAAATTGGCTTACAATTTTGTAGCTAAAACTATCATCTCATCGCTAAAAACATTGCTATTACTGACAAAATAAAATTGTCACTATAAATTATCATGATAAATGACAAATAAAATTATCATAAAATACAAAGTTACTTTGTAGTCAATAAAGCAGTTCTGAGAAATAGAAATATATAAGAACCTTTCATTGCTAAAAAGTCAAACAATATAAAGTATTCTAATATACATTATAATACATTTTCTATGTATATATACATGACCCAAAAAATAACATAAAAGATCTCCAAACTGTTCCTTTGCCTTCAAACTCCTCCTAGTATGTGGTTGACTTCATTTCCTGTTGTTGGAGAACTGTATCCTTCATATATTAAAAAAAATAGCAAAGGATCAAAAGAGAGAAAGAAATTAGAAAATTCTAATAATAATCCAATTATAATTTATCAAAACAATCAAATGCAGAAGTAAAAGATAGCACATACAATGGCAACCAGATGTTGGTAAGAAATTCAACAAGACCTTAAGACTTGACAAATATAATTTCCTGTAACCATCAAAGATTAGCATTAGTATGAGATAATTCTAACAAGGCTACTTAATGAGTTTACTTAATGCTTATATAGTGGTATTATTAATCTAAGCTTGCTGACAATAAGAACATCTAATTATTTTAAAGATAAGATGTAGCTCTTACATAGTTGAAATTGAGATATGCCAAAATTTCACAATGGTGATAATGCTTAAACATCAACAAAGAGAGGATTGGGGTATCAATAATCCAAAAATATCCTCTTTATCAATCACATAATACAGAGACACAAGTTCTCAATTGTGTAACAATCAAGCATTCATTATATTGAAACCCTATAAAATTTGCTCTATTTTAAACTTATCATATTTTTCAAAATAACTCATTACATTTCCAATAGTATCAGAATTTGTGACATGAAATACTAGATAGGAAATTTTCGGGAACTAATCAGACCATAAATTTAGTAACCATGACATATAACTTATATGATCTTTTACACAGACAAATTGAGAAATACCCTGGAGCAATGATTGAACTTCCTAGAGGAACCAAATTCAAGAAAAATATTCTCTATCTGAATACCTAAGCATTGTGAAGTGGGAACATACCTTGATTGAAGTTAGAGAAAAGAACTCCTCATTAGCGTAATGCTGCATCCAATTGAATTGTAGATGCTGCTTTGTTCAGCAATTTAAGGAACTACACGAAAGCAGGATAACGATAACAACACTAAGGGAATATAAAATACAAAGGAAAAGAGTTAACAATCTAACAGTCACACTAGGGTGCAACAATAGATTTGCTGAAAAAGATGCATGTTAGAGTAAGGAAAAAAAAATTCAAGTGGTAGCACTAATACAGAATGTTGATACCCTTGCATGTCCCTCGATGGAGTAATGAAGAGTTCACCATTAACAAATTCAAATTCGAAAAAAATACACCGGCCATCCTTGTTCATAGTAGTTGGAAGTTCTCTCCAAACTACTAGGTCAAGGGTTCAAGGTTGGTTGACAATCTCAAAAAACTTATAAAAGAAACGATTATGCAGACAGAAGGCAATGATAGTAAAGAAAATTATCTCTTCATTAGAAAAATATATCAATAGCCAGTTAGGACATATCAAGTCTACTTATTCAAGTAAAAAATTTAAATGTAGAAAGGTCAGATTAGCACATTTGTCTAATAGTTAATTCTACCAGTTTAACTCCTCACTAAGAATAGACTAGAACTTATTCTGAGCCTCAGCATGTCCCATCATTTTAGCATGCATCCAACTTCCATTATATAAGGAAAAAAGGAGATAGGTGCACAGTCAAAAGGTGTTCTCCAACCATCTTTTTCTACCGAGTGAATACCAAAAAGAAATAGCCTCTAAAACTAACACAGTGAAGTCCAGGATCCCAAATGGGTGCATATAAAAATTTCAGTTGCAGCACATGCGTTCTAGTTTTTAGAATAGCCATGGTACTTATTTGACGTGTTTGTTGAAAAAATTGAACTTTAGCCTCTCTACCACAACATGTTAGTTCAGCTTAACTATTCTTCACCCCACTCTGCCCACCCCCTAAAAAAGAACGAAATTGTATATGACATAATTGATATTAAGTTGCCAATCCAAAAGAGAAGCAAAAGTGTTCATGTTATATACAATTATTACTGTCTCAACCATATCCCAAGTCGTACAGGATTACTGAAAAAGATATTTATATGCAATGAGCTTATGGACAAACGCACAAAAACTCTAAAGATATAAGGTCATTCAATTAAAGTGACATTAAGAGACTAACCTCAATATTAGGCCCTCATCCCTGCACAAAAAATTTAACAAATTGCTAATATGTTCAATGAAAAAGAAAAAGTTTAACGAATAAGTAAAAATAAGGCTTCGACAATGCAAAGTAAATCACATAAACAAGGAATGAAAGGCTTTTCATTCTAGTGCTATAACAACAAAGTTCTGTTAAGCTGAGATTTGGTAAAACATACAACACCTATAAGTTAGATGCATACCTGTCCCTAGATAAATAATTACAATGAAAAGAAAACATAATATGGTCTAATAGACAAACTCTAAATCAAAAAGCATTTCAATAAACCTAAGAAGTTAGAAAATCAAACAATGAGACAATGCATATGGGAAGTGCAGATACATTTCCTCGAAATCCTCCACATAAATTGAGCCCCAGCCTACAATTATTTTAGTACCTTTTAAGCTGATACACAAATAGCAAATAATATATTCTGGTAATTGTATTTTCTATTTCAACTGAAAAATTCTCGGATTTAACAATAAGTCATGAAGTTATTCCGCCAGTGACAAAGCATTCGAGTTGCGAAAGCATAAGAATCCATTTGTACATTTAGCAAATCTAACAAATTTTTACATGAAAATCAAATTAAACCCTAACCTTGAAACAAGAGGAGAATAAGCTTACCATTTCAAGCCCTAATTTTGGGTTGAGGGAAGGCCGGAGGATCATTCAAATCTCAAACTTCGGAACTCTGGCTGAAGCATCTGGTAAACTTTGGGAAGGTTTACCTTATCAAAAAAAAATATTTGGGAAGGGTTTGGAACAAAAAAGGGGGAAGTGTTCGACCAAAACCCAAAAGAAAGAGAGGGAAGTCCTCCCGCTTTACTTTTGCACAAAATTGGGGAATTTTAATCAGCAAATCATTTTTAAACCACAAAGGCACTTTATGGTTGAAACAAAAATAATATTATTGCCAGTAATATAATTTAGTAATATAACTCAAGGACACTTTATAGATTACCTGAATAGTATTAATTAAAACATTTAATTCAAGAGTTTAAATTATTAGTGAGATTCAATTAAGTACAAACTTTTTATTTTACTGTTGATTTACTTTTTTTACCTCTGGAAGTTCAATATATTGTTCTATATTTAATTTAAATGCATAAAAATTTATGTCTTAATTCATGTAAATTAATCACAATTAAATTAGTATATTGACTATTTTAAATTTGTGTGATTTTGAAAGTTTGATTACGTTAAAATAATATATCGAAAAATAAAATTTATCATAAATTTTTCTTTTTAATGATGTTAAATATTTCCTCCCGTTAAATTCTTCGATGATAAAGTTATAACTTTTGTACTTCGTAATTTTTATTATATGATTTCATTGTTCATTTATTTGTTTACTGTATAACTTATACTTAATATTATATATTTAATTTAACATCATCGACTTTACATAATTCTATATATTTTATGATCAATTCATATACTATGAATTTATTCATTTTTTTCAAATTTATTCTTAAGTTAAAATTAAATTATCATTTTCATAACACAATATCTAAGAATTCATATTCTAGTATGCTTTGCTTAATGAGTAGCATAAAAAAAGTTCAAATTTAACTTTCTTCAAACTTACGTACTCTCGGATATAGTATAATGTGATTAAATGATAAATCCCGAAAATGTATTCCCTAATATGTGAAAACAAATAGAGAAGAGAAGATTGGGCTCAATTCAGCCTTGATTAAATTGAAATAGAGTTCGATAGGGCTCAACTCAACTTGGTATTATAAAAGCTGACTCGCTCGATACTAAAATAGGCTATGTTGGGATCGGCTCGATGTTAAGGCCTCAAATAACCAAATTAAGAAGGAAATGAGTAAATTACTCTAAGAACCTAGATCTATAACATGACACAAGTCTGATACACTTCGTATATTTTTAAATTAAACTACTATTAGAGCTTGCGCTGTCACGACCCGAAATTCCCACCTTCGGATCATGATGGAGCCTAATATTTTACTTGCTAGGCAAGTCAACGTGAGAATGATATTAACCAATTTTTAAACAATCTTTAAATTTATTAATAACAAAGAAATAAATACGGAAGTAAGGTCTGAAATATAGTGATTAATCCATAAAAAATAACGGTGTCTAAATATGTCACGACCATAAAACCTAACCTGTCATGATGGCGCCTATCGTGGAACTAGGCAAGCCGACTCATTTCCAAACAAAACCGATATTTTCATTTCCAAGATAATTTTGATATTATTTAACATAAAACCTTCATTTAAGGAGTTCAAATCAAAGAAAAATAAAAGTGCAGAAAAGAAAAGCCCGACATTGGGGTGTCACTAGTCACGAGCATCTAATACAATCTGTCTAATAATATCAAGGCTAACTCAGCCTGAAAAATAGCTAAATACCACTAGAGGAAGATAAGAGGGAGAAGAGCAGGGGCTGCGATCGCCAAACAGCTACTTTGCTATCTCCAAGAAAATCTGCAACCAGAACACTCAATAACCACTACCGTGTCCAGCTACACCTGAATCTGCACATAAGGTGCAGGGAGTAACGTGAGTACGCCAACTCAGTAAGTAACAA